AACCAGTCCCCCCCCCCACTCAGCCTCACCGAATCCCACTCCTCACTACAGCCCCTTTTTGGAGGAGGGCTCACGTTTGCCTGGATACCCCCCTCCCCTTGGTGGTCAAAGGAGAGCTCCCTCCTCCGCTTTTTCACCGGCAGAATAGCTGGTTGGATCCAACCCACTGATTCTCCATCAGCACACTGCTCCTCCTCGGAATCAGAAAGGCAGTCAATCCAGGGAGTTCATTCGCTGAAGAAAACGGAGTAGAAGGTTGAAGGAGATCAGTGAAACACTGTGGTTTGTTCATGACATTAAATGCTCCTGGGAGTATGAGGTTTTGTTAGGGTTGGTTTTGTTAGATTGTTAGGGTTGCCATCCTCCAGGTGAGGCCTGGAGATCTGCCACAATTACAGGCAACAGAGATCGGTTCCCCTGGTGAAAATGGCCGCTTCATCCATGGCGTTCATGGCGCACCTCTTGAGCCTCTGTTGATTTTATTCATATTAATTTGTGCTTAAGGGCACAGAAGAAACCCAGGCTGGGATGCTTCTTGGTGGCCAGCATCTTTCCCCCAAGAGGTATAATATGTGTGACCAAAGTCATACGGGGCAGCTGGTTCTCTTCCTTGACTGCAATGACTTGGCAACAGTGATCCATGAGATGGTCACCTCAAGACTGGACTACTGTAATGCTCTCTACATGGGGCTGCCCTTGTCACAATTATTTCTGGAAGCTGCAGCTAGTGCAAAATGCTGTGGCCAGGCTTCTGATGGGCCTCCCCATGCGGGAGCACATCCAGCCTGTGCTGAAGGCATTGCACTGGCTGCCAATAGCATACTGAATCCACTTCAAGGTGCTGGTTCTCACCTTTAAAGCCCTTTATGGTCAGGGACTTTCCCCATATGTTCCCCAGAAAGCACTGTGTTCAGGGTCCCAAAATCGACTCGCCCTCCTGAGTCCCAAAGACATCAGACTGGCCATAAGCAGGGCCAGGGCCTTTTTGGTGGTGGCTCCATACTGGTGGAATGAGCTCCCAGAAAAGATCAGGGCCCTGTGGGACTTTTTACAGTTCTACAGGGCCTGCAAGACGGAGCTCTTCCACCAGGCCTTCAATTAAGGAGCTGCCACCAACAACAATGGGAAGAAATACAGTCTGTGCCCGCCGTGTATAAATGGAAAGACCAATGAGCTGACCAACAAGACAGACCACCGAATATATCAAAATGACTGTCACCGCCATCCTCAAGCAATACTAACGATAGATCTTGCTAGCACTTTATAACATTATAATTTTGTATGGTTTTAGAAGGTTTTATGATTTTATAACTGTTATTTATGTGTTTTATCTTTATGTAAGCCACCCTAAGCCTGCTCCGGTGGGGAGTGTGGCGTATAAATTGAACAAATAAAATAAAATAATAAATGTGGGGGAAGCAATTTGGAGTGGTTAAAGAGTCCCGTCCTCCCCTCAACCCAGAGCCACCAACAACTGCTTTTACAAAATGCCACAGAACTACCCCCTCAATTCTCCCAGAATTCGTGGGTCTCCCGATTCCTTCTGGTGGCCTCACTGCAGTGAGCTCCCCCTCCTGCTCTGTTTCCGCAGACCTCTCTTGGCCAGTACCCGTGCCATCCGCAGACCATGCCCGCCTGCCTGAAGGAAGAATACTGGGACAGGCTCTTGTATGAATGCATACCTTGCACGCTGGTGTGTCAGACATCGAAGTTCAAGAGTTGTACTGAGGTCTGCAGTGAGTATCCAAAAGGGGGGGGGGCAGGATTCTTTAATATAGGAAGCATGTTTAGTCTGGGGCTAAGAGACAGAGGATGGAATGAAGATGGAATGACGAAAGCTTCAGTGCCACCTCATCCCACTGATGGTGCCAGTCAAAAGGTTAGGGAGGTTTCTGTAGAACTTTTTTTAAAAAAGTTTACAAACCTTGTTTGATCTGAGATGACTGACGGTCTGGAGAAATCAATGCAACACTACCTCTCCCTTTTTCATGTCCCTTTCAACTCTCAGGCTCTGTCTACACAAAGAGTATATATATAGGGGCAAGACTATCGACTTTGTGCAAATACAAAGTGTTCTTTAAAAGGTAATGATAAGGGTGTTGTTTCTTTTTTTAATGAAAAGCAGCCTGTAATTTTGAACCGAAATTGTAAAGATGTATCTGGAACCCTCAGATACATCTTTACAATTTCGGTTCAAAATTACAGATGTATCTGGAACCCTTCTGTGCGCCTTGGTGTTTAGTCATGCCGGCCACATGACCACAGAAATGTCTTCAGACAGCGCTGGCTCTTCGGCTTTGAAATGGAGATGAGCACCGCAACCCTAGAGTCGGATTCGACGGGCTTTCGAGCAAGGGAACCTTTACCTTTTTATATGGAACCCTAAATAGGGGGAGGAGCAATTGGGGGAAAATTTAAAAGGATATGCATGCTCTCCTCCTTCCCAAGCCACTTCCTCTTGGAATTACAGCTCCCCAGGCTGTAATTAAAAACTATTAAAAACTCATTAAAAACTATTTGGGCTTTCACTGCCAGGGCTTTGCCTGAAAAGAATCCTGGGAACTGTAGTTCGGTAAGGATGCTACGAAGTCTATCTGTGACTCTTAGCAACCCCCACAGAACTACAGTTCCCAGAATTCCCAGGGCAGAAGAAATGCATAAGCAGCTATAAGTTGCTGGTATCGACATGCCCAGTCTCTTAAACTGCTAGAACTCCCAGATTTTACCAAAGGTGAGAAGCATATTTAGAGCAAAAACCTTTCTCCAGTTTCCCCTCCCCCGGCTTCTTTTGTACATACAAGCTGGCAAGAGTTCAAGAGTCTTAACTTCATAGAGGATGACACCACCTATCCACTCGTGAACTTTTATGTTCTGGACTGGGTTCATGGAAAATCCAGAGATGGGTGGACCTTCCTACATGAACAAACCTTATCTTGCATCCAAATAGCTTACCTTCAGTCACACAGTGAAGATCGTTGTGCTGTGGTCACTGCTGAAGCAAACTGACACAACCAATCAGAAGCCACTCTGGGCAGAAGCACTACCTGGCCACACCCACTTTCTATAAACATTTGGAGGGTGCCAGAAAGGCGTTGGCAGCTACCATGGCGCCCCCAGGCACCGCATTGGAGACCTTTGCTTTAAGCAGTTCTGAGCTTCTCTCTCGCACATACACACCTGCAGTATGAGAAAAAGAACACTGACCTAATATACAAGACGGTGTACAGTATTACGAGAAGTGCTTTGAGCATCCTGAGGGCTCACACAGGTTTTGAATGCTCAAGGCAGTTTATACATCTTCTACCAGCCATCCTGAAATCAATGGTATAAAAGTTTACCAAAGGCTACCAGAGTGGGATTGCCCTGCTTTCCGGGTTACTAGTGACGACGGAGACGAGGCACGTGAAATACTTTGAACACTCAGCAATAACTCTCTGAATGCTGAGCACTGTTGTTGTGGTTGTAAGTCTTGCTTCTGATAATAGTGGGGTTTTCAACCTCTCTAGAGCACAGTCAGCACGCTTGGCCGGTTAAAGGCAGATAAAACACGGGCTGGAAATCCAGATTCCCAGAGCGCACAACTGGAGGCTGCTCCTGCTTCCAGCTTGGGGAAACTGAAGGATGCAGCCGTTCCCATAGCAGCGCAATGAAGTGCAGGCTGTGTCTGCACAGGCACACACAAGACAGGCTGGATGAAGCCTCTGAAAAATGTGCTGACTCATAAACTGAATGTCTCTCTCTCTCCCTCAACCTTTTCATTTAACACAATGGGTGCCACCCGTTTGCCCCCTTCCCAGAGTCGATGGAGTGCAGCAAGCGCCTGGGTTTCTACTATGACAAGCTTATCAGAACGTGCATCAACTGCACCACCATCTGCGGACAGCATCCCTGGGAATGCCGGCATTTCTGCAACAGTAAGAGCGGGGGGGGGGGGGGTTTACGGGCATACGTACCTGTCACATGGAAAGCAGGGTTTGAATTTGGCCTGGGTGACATATCAGAGAGCATGCCCCTGGGCATGTGCAACAGCAACTGTCTCCTCTTCCTCCTTCAGCAAGTGTCTCCTCTTCCAGTTTGGTGTAGTGATTAAGTGCGCGGACTCTAATCTGGGACAACCGGGTTTGATTCCCCACTCCTCCACTCACGGCTGCTGGATGACCTTGGGCAAGCCACAGTTCTGTCAGAGCTTTCTCAGTCCCACCTACGTCACAGGATGTCTGTTGTGGGGAGGGGGAAGGGAAAGGAGCTTGTCAGCCGCTCTGAGACTCCGAGTGAAGGGCGGGGTATAAATCCAATCTCTTCCTCTTCTTCTTCTTCTTCTCATTATTATTTGAATTTATAAATTGCCCTCCCGCAGAGGGCTCAGGGCAGTGTACAACATCATAATTAAAATACAAAGGATAAAACACACTATAAATAATAGTTAAAACAGTAAACAGTACAGTGCAATGCACATGGTCTAGATCCAGGTGGTCAGCTGTGTTGGTCTGAAGTGGAAGAACAACTTTAGAGTCCAGCGGCACCTTTAAGACCAACGAAGTTTATTCAAGGTATGAGCTTGTTGGTTTTCAAGGTGCCACTGGACTCTAAATCTGCACATGGTCTAGTTATTGATGGCCTACATAAAATTATGCTCCCTTCCAAGGGCAGGTCATGAACCTGACATGGTGAAGGTCATAGAGAGGCCAGGAGAAGAGCCAATGTTGTCCTCAGCTGTAGGCCTGGTGGAACATCTCTGTTTTGCATGCCCTGCAAAACTGTACAAAGTCCTGCAGGTCACGGATGTCACTAGGCAGAGTTCCATCAGGCTGGGGCCAGGGCCGAAAAGGCCCTGGCTGTAGCTGAGGACATCTTACAGATCCACTGCAGCTTCTTTCCACCCGACTGGGACTAGGTTGTGAAATGTCCACAGTGATGGATGTGAGGAAATCAGTGGGGCAAGGGATAAAGGCAGGGTTGCCAACCTCCAGACGGCACCAGGAGATTAGCTCCCCTGGGCAAAATGGCTGCTGTGGAGGGTGGACTCTATGGCATTATACCCTACTAAGGTCCCTCCCCTCCCCAATTTCCACCCTCCCCAGACTCTACCCCCCAAATCTCCAGGTATTTCCCAGCCCAGAACTGACAGACCTTGACAAGGGCCAATGAGGGTTTTTCCCCCCCCACTTTCAGGGCCCCCAATCTGACACTGGCTAGCTGGCCAGTGGGGGGAGCCTTGGCGCACCTGGTGTCACCCGGAGGTGATGTCATTGCGCTGGGAACGTCGTGTGGGGGACGCTATAGCATTTGGGTAAAAGCTCTATGGTGACCATAGAGTTTTTCACCCAAATACTAGAGCGTCCCTGGAATGACGTGCCCGACATGATGATGTCACCTCTGGGTGACGTCGTCGCAGCATGTGCATCAGAAGACCCCAGAAGCTGGGCTGGAGCCCCCCAACGGGATGCAGGTAAGACCCGGCAACCCTACTTAGCAATCGGGACAGAACATTATTAGCGAGACAGTGTGGGGTGGTGTCATGGTTAAAGGGCCACACTTGGAGAGGGGAAGCCCAGGAACCTAACCCCTGTCAGCCATGGAAGCTCACTGGGTGACTTTGGGGCAGTCACTTACTCTTGGGTTTACCCACCTCACAGGGTTGTTGTAAGGGGAGGACCGTTTACCTTTTGGTAACTGAGACTGATGAAAATGTGGGGGTAGGATGTGATTAACTTTATGGTTCCTTAAATCATGTCTCTCCCCCCCGCCCCCATTAAAGGTAGCAATCCAGATCTCAGGAACCAAGGGCAGCCATTTCAAAGGCTCACTCATGCTATATATGCAAGGGGAAACTGGGAAAAAGTGTTTAGAGGGAGTTTACATCTACAGTGGGGGAGGGAACTTAGGGAAACATAAAAGCATAACCCCCCACCCTCCGCAGAGTTCTTACTACCCATTTTGTGGATTGAGTGTCCGTCCAAACAGCAGAAGGGGAAGAGAGAACCAAGATATGATTCTGAAATCCTCCCTGTTTGGAGGTGGCCACATACCAGTGTCCCTCCTGTGGACTTGTCCACAAAAGGGATTCACTCAGGAAGTCAATTAGGGGTGTTTTTAAAAAAAGACAGATGGAAGCAGCAGTAGTACTGGATCAATACCCACATGCGTGTAAGCAATAAGTAAACTGTCCCACCAAAATAAATAAATAAACAAAAGACCAAAGTACCTATATCCAGAGAAGAGGGTGCCCATTCTGCCTCTGCATGATTTATTCTGATCCTGCCTCCTTCCAATCAGTCTCTGCTTGCAAGTGGCTATTACGCTGCAGCTGTGCACCAGGTGCGAACGGCTCACCCTCCCGCACCATACCACAGAATTACATGTCCTTGGAAGGCACTGCCCCGCCACTTCTCTGTCCAAGTCCCTGTTCTGGTTTTGCCCTCTATTCAAGAGGGCGGGGGGGCGGGCGGCAACTCATGCTCATCAACGAGGAGTGGGCTTCTCAGAGGGTGGGCTGATTCCTCTTAATCACATCCTAAAAAAAGGAAATGTTTCTGAGTGGACGCCTGTAAAACGGAGCTCTTCCACCAGGCCTTTAGTTAAGGAGTCGCATCCAACAATTAAGACCTTGTGCCCAATGCCACCACCAATGGCCTACACTTGCCCACAATAGCCAGTTTGGTGTAGTGCTTAAGTGCGTGGACTCTAATCTGGGAGAACTAGGTTTGATTCCCCACTCCTTCACTTGCACCTGCTGGATGACCTTGGGCAAGGCATAGTTCTGATAAGAGCTGTTCTTGAAAAAGAGCAGTCTCTGTCAGAGCTCTCTCAGCCCCACCTACCTCACAGGGTGTCTGTTGTGGGGAGGGGAAGGGAAAGGAGTTTGTAAGCTGCTCCGAGACTCCCTTGGGTAGTGAATGGCGGGGTATAAATCCAATCTCTTCTTCTTCTTTGCCAAACTGTCATAACAACCGCTGACTGTATTTTTAGCATGTCTGCTGCCATTACTACCTCACCATCGCCGTATGAACTGATACGAGCACTTTAAGCCTTGTTTTTAGAGATATATTGATAATTGTTGTTTTACTTGTCAAATTTTATGTAAGCCACCCTGAGCCTGCCCTGGCGGGGAGGGCGGGATATAAAATAAATAAATAAATAAAAAATAAACGCTTGCCGCTTTCAGTTCAAGGAGAAATGTTTGTAGGAAGTGCCCACAAAGCTTCAATGCTCTGTGCATAGTTAAAGCAGAAGCAAGTACTGGGCTGGAAGTGCTGGTGGAAACAGGGAAAAGGTCCCCCCCCCCCAGCGATTGACCCAGTTGCTTCAGAGCAGGGGTCTGAGCCTGTGGATACCTTTGGAATTCCGACATGGGGCGGCGGGCCGCAATCTAGGTTTACCATTTGGGAACTCCAGTCTGAAAAACCTCATCTGTTGAGGCACTGATTAGCACATAGGAATACTGTTGTATTTTTATCGGACGTATTGTAATTGCTTTTAAGCTTTTGTATATGGTGATTGATGGAACTCGCCCTGAGCCCGCTATGCAGGGAGGGTGGGATACAAGCCCAAGAAAATAAATTAAAAAATCTCAAAAAAGCCGCCAAAGGAAGCATCAAATCAGGGGGGAAGAGGGATGATTAAAAAAAAAAAACAACCACTCTGGGACAATGTTCCCTCTAAGCTGTGGAGTCTTGTGAGCAAAAATTCTGCTTTGTGAGCTACTGGCAGTAAAGTTGTGAGCGAGCTATTTGGCTGCTGCATAAATTAGTTTGCTCTGGAGCCGTCCTTCCTGAGCTAAGACCAAAATGTGTGGGCTGGAGGCTAAAAAACTGTGAGCTAGCTCACACTAACTCAGCTTAGAGGGAACACTGCTCTGGGATGATGAACAACTTTTGAGTCCAGTGTCACCTTTAAGACGAACAAAGGTTTATCCAAGGTATAAGCTTTCGTGTGCTGCTGGACTCAAAATCTGTTCTCCTGCTTCAGACCAACACGGCTGCCCCCCTGGATCCAGAAAGATAAGTGAGACAATTAAAATCAGCACTGTGGTGGCGGCGGCTGCCTCTGAAACGACATTATTTTAATCTGCCCAGCCAATCAGATCTCCAGTGGCCAGTCACAAGATCCACTGGGCAAGTGCCTTGCTTGGCCCCACCCACTTTCTAAGAACCGTTATCACACAACATGTCTGCTTAATTCTCTCTCTGTCTAACTTCCAGGTAACCCTGCAACCTTACCCGCACCGGCTGCTCTGGCGTGGAAGCTGGACAGTGCGTATGACCAGCGGCTGGTGGTCTACCTGGTGCTGGGAATTTGTCTCTGCACTCTGCTGTTCTCCTTGCTGCTGACCTGGATTTACTTTAGGAAGTGGGGGGAAGAGGTGACCTGCCACGCTGGCACCATCGCTTGTCACAAAAAGGGGGATGGCCCCAAAGGTAAATGCGCTTTGCAGAATTCATGCAAGAGCTAAATTTGGAAGCAGAATGATCGGTTTAAAAGGTGTCCTGGCTTTAGGTACTTTGGTGTAGCGGTCAGGAGCGCGGGCTCTAATCTGGGAGAACTGGGTTTGATTCCCAACGCCTCCACATGAAGCTGCTGGTGTGACCTTGGGTCTGTCACAAGTTCTCTCAGAGCTGTTCTCTCAAGAGCAGTTTTCTCAGAGCTCTCTCAGCCCCACCTACCTCACAGGGTGTCCGTTGTGGGGAGGGGAAGGGAAAGGAGATTGTAAACTGCTCTCCTTCGAGTAGTGAAGGGTGGGGTATAAATCCAATCTCTTTCTCTTTTCTATATATACCTATAAACATTGAAGAGGCATTCACACACATAGACACATGAAGCTGCCTCATACTGAATCAGACTCTCAATCCACCAAGGTCAGTATTGTCTACTCAGACTGGTAGAAGCTCTCCCAGGTTTTATGCAGAGGTGTTAGAACACAAGAACATAAGAGAAGCCAATGCTGGGTCAGGCCAATGGCCCATCCAGTCCAACACTCTGTCACACAGTGGCCAAAAAGACCAGGTGCCACCAGGAGGTCTAGCAGTGGGGCCAGGACACTAGAAGCCCTCCCACTGTTGCCCCCCCCAAGCACCAAGAATACAGAGCATCATTTGCCCCAGAGTTCCTACCTATAAAGGTAAAGGTAAAGGTTCCCTGGCTCGAAAGCCAGTCGAATCTGACTCTAGGGTTGCGGTGCTCATCTCCGTTTCAAAGCCGAAGAGCCAGCGCTGTCCGAAGACGTTTCCATGGTCATGTGGCCGGAATGACTAAACACCAAGGTGCACGGAACGCTGTTACCTTCCCACCGAAGTGGTACCTATTTATCTACTTGCAATTTCTTGCTTTCGAACTGCTAGGTTGGCAGGAGCTGGAACTAGAGACGGGAGCTCACTCCGTCATGTGGCACCCGGGTCTCGAACTGCTGAACTACTGACCTTCCACAGCCTGCAGTTCAGCGTCTTAACCACTTGAGCCACCGCAGCTATACCTTGTGGCTAAAAGCCACTGATGGATCTCTGCTTCATATGCTTATCTAATTCCCTCTTGAAGCCGTCCATGCTTGTGTTTCACGTCACCTACTTTAAACTTCAGTACCTTTAAACTGGAGATGCTGGGAATTGAACCTGGAACCTTCTGCACGCAATGTAGATGCTCTACCACTGAGCTGCCACCCATCTCCTTTCACTAGTCTGGGAGGAGGACAAGATACAATGCTGGGAACTGGAGCCTGCCCACACCAGCCATGGTAAAACATTTTTTATCCTTCTTGGCCTCCAAGAAGCTCAGGGCTCTCCTCTTGCTCCATTTAACTTTCACAACAACCCTCTGAGGAGGGTTAGGCTGAGCAAGAACAAACAGTCCAGGGTCAACTAGTCAGCTTCAAAGGCAAGGGGGGGATTTGAACGGAATACTTCCCAGCTGTAGTCTAGCACCTAACCACTATGCCACAGTCCTTCTCAACTCTTCTGCGCCTGGGCGTTTGAGCTAATATTTGCAGTCACAAAGACTAGAAACTATGAACACGAAAGGTGCCCTTCTCCAGATGCTGGATTCTGCACACAACATTACTCTTTTCTGTGCTTGCCAGGGGAGAAAAAAGGATAAAGACAAAGGTATTGTTAAAAAAATTACAGAGGTGTGTCTGCTCTATTAAACTATTCAAGTAGCGCTGCAGAGGTGTGAGGAACTCCAAGGGAGTTCCTTAGCCATGTGTCCTTGAATATACATCTCCAGAGAGAATCCCCCCACCAAGAATTGAAGGGGGTTGAAACAGGGCCTTCCATTTCATCAGGCATCCCTCCCACTTCCGCTAAACCAGGATTTTTGCAGATTTTTGGGGTTTTGTTTTTAAACTTGGCAAAACCTGCCTGAACAGAGGGAGCTCCCCCAAGGCTCCCATTCATAGGCAGCCCAGATGTTCTCCAAACAACTGTTCTTCTTCTCAGCTCCTTGCGCCTCACAGCATAGTTTGGAGAAACCACAACAAACTCCACAGTATCCAACTCCTGTGTTTGTAACATAGATAAGAGCAGGTCACCTCTTGCAGGCTGCAGCTCAGTGAGGTCATGGAACTGATGACCGAAATGCACAGCGGTGAGTAGGGTTGCCAGCTCCAGCTTGGAAATTCCTGGAGATTTGGGGGGGTGGAGCCTAGAGAGGGTGGGATTTGGGGAGGGGAGGGACACCAATTGGGCATAGCCATAGTGTTCACCTCCCAAAGCAGCCATTTCCTCTGGGGGAACCGATCTCTGTCACCTGGAAACCAGCTGTAATTCCGGGAGATCGCCAGCCACCACCTGGGGACGATATGCAAAAGTATATAGCACTGTGTATGATAGATGTATCAATTTTGTGCTTTTTCTTTTTCTATACTGTTATATAAATATTGGTATCAAATATTATAAAAAATAGGTTTCACCCAAACAAAACATCAAAGTGCAGGTTTACATTCTGTTCAAATATTCAGACAGCACTTTGTCAGATTCACAATCCATTATACTATTATAATATCTATTATACACAGTGCTATATACTTCTGCATATCTTCCTAACACAGTGCTATATACTTCTGCATATCTTCCTAACAATGTGACCCTCAGGTTTTGTATTTACCACTTGGTGACTGGCAACCCTAGCGGTGAGCAAACTTTCAAATCCCACATAACTCTTCTTCAGTAGAAAAGAGACAGAAGGGGGTGGGAGAAAAAGCAGGTTGCTTACCAGTAACTGGTGATCTTCGAGTGGTCATCTGTGCATTCACACCCATGGGATCTAGTGCACACGCACTGGATCGATCGGTGCTGTAGCAAGCTCTTTCAACGGATTTTTGTGCCCAGTCCCCCGGGCATGCGCAGGAACCCCACCGTGCATGCCCAGAGGGGTGGGCGCAGACATCCCGCCAGTTCCTCCGAACTGCTGCAAATCAACCCCTATGGAAAATGTAGAAGCTGACAGCAGCGGGGAAGGAGGGCGGGTGGTGTGAATGCACAGATGACCACTCAAAGATCATCAGTTACAGGTAAGCAACCTGTTTATCTTTGACGTGGTCTCTGTGCTTCACACCCATGGGAGATTAGCGAGC